TTGCTGGCATCCTTGCATGGCTGCAGTAGCGGTGCCAATCTGCCAAGTTTCCAGACATAGGAAACTATTGGGGTGGTTAACGACAAGTTTAGGAGTTTGGTAAGATACTCAACTCCTGGTTCATCCTGTTGTTTCAATATCACCATAGAAATTATGCTAGGATCAAGCGCTTTGTATGGATTTGCGCAGAATACTTTTCTTAGCCCTGTCACTCTCGCTCTGTACGAAATGCCGATTAGATTAAATCGCGCACCTCTTCGAATATGTAACTTCTATGCCGATAAATCCCTTTTTCCGGGGTTCGAAAGTGACTCAACCGTTGCCTACAATTTACTCCATTCAGTACTGATGTTACAATGCTTCAGATGATCTAGTCACTTTTCCCGTTTAAGCTTTCCAACTAACTTGTTTACCGTCAAAGTTAGTTCCCAGACTCTGTAAATCATCTCGCTCAGTTGCTAATCACTCTCTCTCTGCTAGGAAATTTGGTCTTATTTCAGGTATTCAACGCCAGCAGGTTTTAGCTTTGATGATGTCCCGGAAACGACTATCTGCTACCTAAACTTCAGAGGGGTTGGGCACTTTTCTAAAGCGGCGATTGATATATTCTCTGAATTCTTGCCAATTGGCTTTCCCATGGTTAGGGAAAGTGCGGCGTTCAGAGTCAATAAAGTTGGATAGTCTGTTTATAGCGACGATAATAGTGAGGTGGTCTGAGCCTATAGAAATGACCGATTCTCAGGATGCGTCATTTATGAGACCTGGGGTCACGATGGATATACCCGTCATTCTGCTGAGTGCATTCTCATTCACTGTGCATAACGTGGATCTATCAATGTACTCGTTAACAAGGACGGTATGCCGGTAGAAACTTCCGATAGCAATCATCTATGCAGCTCCAAAGCGGTCTTTAGTACATTTGAAATGCCCAATACCAAAGAACGGCTAGAAATGGACAAACCTCTTCTTTTTCAGTTATTCTTGTTGAAACAGCTCCGATTTTCCCCAATTTATATTGCATTCAGACGAAGTGCTCCACGTAACCAGAGCTATCGGTTAGCCAGATATGGATATCCATAGGATTCCAGGAATTTCAACCAAATTCTATAAGTTCGTTTCGACAAGTTTTCATTTGTTCGCGATAGTTGTTTGATGAGATCCATATTACTTCATTTGCAACATCTCCAAATCTCATAAATCCTTATGAAAATGAAATACTTTCTAAGGGAAGCTTAGCTTGTTCTTGTTAATGTCGTTTGACTGTATGAATCAGTCCAGCTAATGTGTGGTTACTCAGCTTTTTTTTTGCATATCGATTGGTTTTGGTCACCACATTAAGTACTTTCTTATTTGCAAAGCGTCTTTCTTATCACACAACAACAGCTGGGCTATCAAAACCATCAAAAATTGTTATGAAAAAAATCACCTTATCTTGACAAAAACCGACAACGTAAATGCCATGGTCTATGGGTAATACCAAAACTTCGTATTCATATTCGTCAACGAAAATTTCATTACGTAAAATGTAAATATCCCTGTTATGAAAGAACAATTTTTTGTGTTACTATGCAAAATAATAAGACACCATGACACCAAGGAAGTACACCTGAATATAAAAAATGCAACCGAAGTAATTCAATATTCTTGTGGACACCATTTGTTTTCGCTTTTCTTTGAGCAGAGTGTTGATGTATTCTTCCATGTTGAAGAAAAAGAGGAACTTTGTTTTTTTTTATCGTTTCAAGCAAACTCTACTTCCGGGCTTCTTATTTATGGAGAGTTCTTTATGGTCAGATATCAAAAACATTAAACATTTCCTTAAAAACAGAAAAAAATGTTTAGCATTATGGGACATCAATTCAAAAAAGCGACAACTTATAATTTCACCTTGCCAACCACATGCTGTGGGTTTCTTGGAACATATCATCTTGCCATTTGGGGATTAAATGAAAGTGAGTTACTGCTACTGATGTTTACGGCAGTTGTCACTTGATGACAATGCATTTTTGTTGTCACACCATTGTAGTACTTGATGTTGTTGTTGCATAAATATACATTAGTAGGTATTAATAATGAAGCAACAAATGCCATCCATGTTTTTTTCTGTTGTTATGGGTACGCATATAAATTTATTTCATCGTCTACACTCTTATCCATCCTCCGCCACTCCATCCATCCATCTCAATGACGTCCACAATCAACAGCATTGGTGGTGATGGCTGGCAATGCAATTCAACAAAAGCAGAAACTTGATGTGACAAGTTTCTTTTGGCCGGGCAGTAAAAAACAACGTCATTTATCCACCTCCCACCTTTTCCCAACTTAGCATTGACGACACCACATATTTGACATATTTGTTTCCACTCAGATCAGGGTAAGTGCGTGGGTTTTCCTGATGAAGTAATTATGTTTGAATTAGAAAACGCCAGGCAATGAAGTTGAGTTGAGTCGTTATTCTATGACTGTGGCGCTGTCAAAAAAGTGATGCATCCGTTTAACTTTATCTCTCTCTCTTTCTTTTGCCCCTAACGTACGGTCTCTTAAGGGTTACCACGATTGTATTTTATCGTTGTTAAGCCGTGCTAATCGCTTTAACGAGAATATTAAATTATTCTGGGAATAAACAATGACTACTGAGAAAGAATACAAATGTTGTTGAGGTTTTATGTAAAAGAAAACAAATAAGATTAAAATCTAAATAGCTGTTTTGTTGTAAGATTACAATAAAGCTGTTATTGTAGTGAATATAAAAGAGTGGTCACTTCCTAAAATAAAAATAAATCAGTAACTGATTTCCTTTCAACAAATGTAATAAAATTTATCATCAAACACATCTGGAATACCCAGGTTATTCACCGATTTGGGAACATTTCCATTGTGGTAAATTTTAAACAAGCGTACTTCGTAATTCGATTGTGTCATATGAAGGGATACTTATGAACTAAATATGCCAATCCCCTAGTGGTAATTTTCAAGCTTGTTAAGGGCATGTTATGAATTTAAGAAGATTAAAATATGTAATCGATTGAAACTTTATTATAGACTCTGTATTTATAAGTAAATACATGTCACCCTGGCTTAAGATACTTTAAGTCGGAATTTAATCACACCATCCAAAATTCGATCCATTTGATCACTCGTAGCATGATCATCATTTACATCAAATTAAAGAGAAATATGTGAGAGCTTTATCGAAATCCGAACCGATTTATTATTGTTATGAAACGCGAAATACGGTTTCGGGGGAATAAAATTTCAAATCGGATAAAACATTAATATGAGTAGCTATCGCTCCCGAACATCTGGACCTTATTTTCGAGGCTGAAATCAGTCGCATCAGCATTTAAGATGTCGGTACATTAGTACTCCGATAGTAGGAATCTAGAAATCTCCTAGCTTGAAGTTCTTCGGAATAAAATAAAAATTTATTGGGAACTTTAGACCAATTCTTACCGAATAACCTGTTGTAAGATCATGAAAAAGATATATTCCAATCACTAAGACCACAAACTATGCCAAATTCGACATTGATGGTCAGGCTAAAAGCTCCCCGACGTGCAATAAAAAAATACTGACTATCCCCACATGGTAAAAGGTTTTGGGCGGCCGTATTATCCAAATAGGAAATATTCACATATTAAAGCTAACCAAATAAAAGCAAGGAAAGTTAAGAAAGATTACATTTTTCCAAATTTGGGATTTTCCAGTTCCAAACATTTCAATTTTTTCCTATCAATCTTTTTTAAAATTAAAAAATAACAAAAAGTTCTGTCACAGTTGAAATTGTTCAACTTTGAAAATAGTGGTAAAAAAATGCCCACACTCTCATCATAATAAAGCATTTTGACATACAGTATTACCCTAATACACCAGGGCCTCAATTCTTGTTCTATGAAAATGTGAAATGAAAATTTTTTTAAAGGAAAGAAATGTCAAATAAAAAATTATATAAATTAAATATTTTTCATTTCATATTTTCATAGAACAAGAGTCCAGCCCCAGGACATTAACTCCAATCATAAGAGCCATAGTTATAAAACTTTTGAAAATTAAATTTTTTTGACAAGTTAAATATTAACATTTTTCATTGCTTTGGATTTATTTTCTATTAGAATACTTCTATTCGATAAACCAATAGACTGTTGAAGTTGAAAATTTTCAAGTGTAGCGAATTTGAGTTAACATTCATTTCCTTTTTTTTTTGGTAAATAAAAGCGTAAACTAATCGGTAAGAGCCTTAGGTAGGCCTGTAAAGATAATACTTTATTATGTAAATATAATATGTATGTAAATATAATATGAAATTTCTCTCTCTTCAAATCAAAAAGTCTAAGGCACCTTCATATTTAAAGGATTTTAATAAAAGGTTGCATTGGCAACCCTGCTTATCCACATAGAAAACGAAATCAAAGCAAATGTCACACATTTCTTCCCGTCAATTGAAAGTGTTGTCGTTCTTGATGATGGCCTCTCTTAACACTTGTCACACAAAGAAAAATAACAACAACAAAAAACGAAGGCGGAAATAGGTCAGGGGAAAACAACAAAATCTAATTTTATTTTATGTAGACTCACGGCAACAAAACCAACATAAAAATTGTTGTTATGTGGCAGATGGACAAACACGCACTGCACCGAGATGGGATTACAAACAAATCAAATGAGAAAGAACCACATGTTCATATCCGATCAGAGAACCACCCCCCAAAAAAAGATGAAGATGAAACAACAACACCAAAAAAATTGCAACATATTTCAACAAGAGCCCAGACCCGGGTCCGGTCAAGAGACAATTGAGTTAAATCACAAGAAGGGCAGATGTTAGTTTAATTAAAAACGAATTCTGATGATGACGATGATGCCACAAAGGAGAATAAAAAATATGATAAATTATAAAGAAGAACATGCATATTAACAAGAAGAGACAAGTGAAAAATTAATGTAGAACAGAAGAAGAACAACGGACAGACAAGGCGAGACGTCAACTCGTCTCAACTTACCTTAATTGTGGTGGTGGCACTGCTGCTGCTGCTGCGTCGTTTGTGGGAAGCTGTAACAGCTGTCAATTGGGGCAAAACCAGCAACAACAATGCAAATGTGACCAAATAAAAAGAGCAGCAGCTGATATTTGTGAGGTCGTCTTCAATAGTGGGGAGAACAGACTCACAAAACTGGTTTGAGTTTTTTTCGTTTCGTTTCGTTTGTTTACCGACTTGGATATTTGTTTTGTTTTACTTGTGTTTGTACAAAAACAGTGGGCAAGTTGTTTGTGTGTGAATGGGGGGATGCACGGAAGACAACAAAAGCCAGCTGCTTTGCTGTTGCTTGTTTAGTAAAACAACAGCGTAATTTTGCAATTGAACTTTTTTTGTGGTGATTAATTTGCTGCTGCCGTTGTTGTTTTTTGGTTTTGGACAAACTGAGACCTTTAGAATTTTATTAACAATGATTTAAAACCGAGTTGTAGGCCGACTGTCAGCTACTGTTGTTGCCACCATAACGACAATGCAACACCACATAACCAGCAACGAACACTTGCACAATTATAGGCCAAAGGCAACAACTGGTTTTCAAACTTGCCCCAAAACCGTTTGCCAATATCTTGTGGGAAACTTTATTTTCACTGGCAAAGATGCAACTGTTTTCCTGTCTGGTGTCTGGCCGGCTTTTTTAGCATGTAATTGTAAAGCCTGTTTGGTTGTCAGGCAAGCACTTCTGGTTTTTTTCCTCGTGAAATGATGAAACTTTTTTCATTGATTTTCACTTTTTTTGTTGCAACTATGCAGTTATTTTCTTTATTGACTTTTCATGGCATTATTTTCCTTTAATTAGCACCACAAGCACTGGACAAATACAATTCTGTCAGCTGGGAAATGGAAAAAAACAACAATTAACAAGACGTCGTAAAAACACTAATGTGTTAATTTCTTTACAATAACACTAATAATGATTTTGGTTGATTGAGATACAGCATTTAGACTTCCTGGTTATTCTTTTTTAACATTCGATTTGACAAAACTTTTCTTATTTCGGTTTTTTTCCTTTTTTAATAAAAATTCTTGACACTTTCTTCTATAATTAATTTCATGCTTGTTTTTCACAATTTTTCCTTGAATTTTCACAAAACAACAGCAACTACATTGAGCCAAAGCGAATGTCAGACAATGGAAAAATAAAATATTTGTTAATTATCATCATCGCCGTCACAAACACCAATGCAAATAACAAACAAACATCATAATTATCTTCATGAACTTAAATCTTAATTTTTGGTCAAATCATTTCTTTTTTATTTTCGAGAGAAAGAGAGCAACAATACCAACAACAAACAGCTATTGGGGGAACAATGACTTTTTCCGACAAATGTGTAATTATTTTTCTGGTTGTTTGATTCTTTTTTGTGAATTTATTTTCTCACTAAACGCCTCAATTACTTGTCAACACATTAAAGAAAATCACGCACACCGTCCGTCCGCGTTGCTGTATGCAACATTAATTTCTGTTTTATTTTCCCGTAAATCGTATTATCATCAAGCGCTATCCCACCTCGCTTCGTCGACGGCTGTTTTGCTATTACTAGGGATACGTAAGTCGACTTTCAATGCATTAACGACAAATGAATAAGAAGACAAAAGAGAATTGTCGATAAAAATAAGCAGCAATATGGAGGCCGACTGCGACACACAGGAAAACGAAGCCAAATAGCAAAAGTTGACGGCGGCAAATGGCGGTTAAAAATAGATACAACAAAACACATTTAAAATTAGTTTTTAAAATAAAAAAATAAATGAGACGAGCAGAAGTAAAGCACAGCACCTCATCCCAACTCTAAATCATGAAACACTTTTTTTTAAATACAAGAAATTGTTAAAATCAATGAAAAGGCAATCAATTTGAAATGGGAATCTGTTCCCATTTCAAGTGTGCTACTCAAACTGAACTGATAACACACAAAGTTGTCGTTGGCGAATAACAAATAGTTTTATTTCCATCAAACAAATTTTTAGCATTTACACGAAATAATTTTCGAAATTGTCCTTAAATCCTCTTGTTAAATAATCACTTTAGTAAAAATAATTGTTGTTTTGTTTTAAAATCAAGTCTGTGGACAGGAGTTTACCCCTTCATCACCAAAAAATCGAATTAATGGTAAGAGAGTAAAAGGGAGTGAAATTCTATACAGAACTTCGTGTTTTCTGCTATTCATTGATAATATTCAACTTTCAAAATGAAAATATCCTTCTTAAAAGTGTACGCATAACTTGTCCTTAGTGGAAAAAATATACAATTTTTGTAAATTTGAAATTAAGGGATTTAGTCGTGGTAAAATTAAGGAGGTAAAGTCATTTCAAATCAGACTATCCATCTATATACAATGGATTTATAAATATAAATTTTGACAGTGAGATGTTGTCAAATGAATATTTTTTAAAAATTGTAAACATATGACTTTACCTTCTTCATTCTATCGTGGCTTTAGTAGACTATAGAAACGAATAGTGTATTTCTCACAGTCGTCTTGCCAAAATATTTATGGATTCTTATTAAATATATTTAAAAATAATAAATTGTCCTGAGTTATACTAGGCGGTTTTACTGGTGGCAATTTTTATCGTTCACTTTTCAAACTGCATTTACACAAAGCAATTTATTAGCATTTTTTCTTCATTACCTTTTCTGTCATTTATAATTATATTTTTGTATAAAAACAAGTTAAAAAGTATCAGTCGTTTTTGCCGACAGATGTATGTAGCCTCAGCTAATGATCGATTATTTTAACATATTTTGACTTCTGTTATGATTATTCAAATCGTTGACCCTCTATGGATTAGGTTCAAGAGAAATGGGCCAATATTGTCCATTTAGTATCGGACCTAAATAAATATGACATAAATATTGCGACGTGTCGGGTTACATCGTTCGCTTTATATGAGATATGTGATAATTTTTAGAAAATATTAAAATGTGCGTGAGGTACCAGATATAGTCGACCGAACTATTCTATTTTCATACTTCATCTATTACACAAAGATATTGGTATGGGCAAAATTCCATATTCATCTCAGGTTTTTGGTTGAGAGAAATATTTAGACATATCAAGTTGTAAAGAATCGCTGACTTGTTTTGCAAGTTGTGACAGATGAAAGTATTGAAAATTGTGGCTCTTTGTGAAAGGGTTCGCAGATATAAATCGTCTTCATAACAGATCTTGTGTTAGCAAAAATGTGTGTATGTGTAAAATTTGAAGAGATTTGGATGCTCATTTCGTTTTGTTTTTAAAATAATTAACCCTTTGTGAGGGAGTAGTGCGCCGATAAATGCCATTTTCACAGCAAATCTTGTTTAAGTAAAAATAGTGACACTTGTAAAATTTGCAGGGAAACGGATGCTTATTTCGGATTTTATGATCGTTTTGGTTATTCAAAATTTTGACCTTTTGTGGGGGAGGTACTAGATAAAATTATCCGAGCTCTACCATTTATAATAAAAGATCTTGTGCTGATAGAAATATTGAGATGTGCCAAGTCTGAATGGAATCGGATGTTAATTTCCAGTTTTATGAGCTTCATGCATATTCTAAATGTTGACCTTTTTGGGGGAGGACCATTAAATTCCATTTTCACGCCAGACCTTGGGTTTATAAAAAAATTGTGATGTGTGTAATTTGAAGAGAACCAGAAGCTTATTTCGAATTTTTTAATCGATTTGGCTATTTAAAACTTCGACCCTTTGTGGGGGAGGTACCAGAAGGAATGGTCTGATCTCTACCATCTCTATAACAGATTTTGTGCTTATGGAAATATTGAAATGTGCCAAGTTTGAATGGAATCGGATGTTTATTTCGTGATTTATAAGCTTCATAAAATTCAAAATATTTACTCTTTGTGGGGTAGGTACTAGAAGGAGTGGACTGATATATTCCGTCATCACATCAAACCTTTGGTTACTAAAAACATTGTGATGTGTGTAATTTCAAGACTATCGGTCTCTTACATCACATTTTATAAGATTTATAAATATTCAAAATTATGACCCTTTGTGTGGAGGTATTTGATTGAGTTGACCGGTTTTTTACACTTTCGCACCTGACCTTGCACTGATGCAAATATTAAAATTTGCAAAGTTGGAGAAAAATTGGATTATCCTTTCTCTTTTGAACGTGATTGGCTGTTATATTGGTATATATTCTGAATATAGTATTTATCCCGCACATTATTTTCTTAACTACCTTTACCAAGTAATGGAATAATGCTAGTGTCACTTAGAAATGTAAAACAATTTGTTGAGCATACTTTTAGGCTGCATATATCTCTCAGGATAATTTCGAAAAATAATAGCCGTGTTTTATCTACAATAATTACTTACTGTTTTGTTTGATTATTTACTTTTGTTTACCCTTTCCCTGCCTTTTACGCGGATTCTTTCATCATGCTTTACTTAGTACAAAAATCGTTTTCTTTTATTTCTAACCAAAAATATTATCATAAATTCTATACCAAAAACCATTTGGTCTAAACATTTCATCGACTTTCATGTCATCTAAATATTTTTTATAATTCTTTAATATAAATGGATCCAAGGGGCCCCAATTTGATTTGGGTTTGAAGGAATTCTTTACACGTTCCCACAACGTAGCACCGGTTCGCTTATGGACACCATAAATAGCCCAAAAGAGTAATTGACCTATGCCAAAGGCGGATAGACACCAACCGAAAACTGGAAGGGAAAAGAAAATCAAGTTGGAAATTATTTGTGGGAATGGAAATCAAAACGAAAGGCAACTTACTGTAAACCCCAGGCTGGTAAGTATAACCATTATATTCCAGTGGTTTGTATTCCACCAGAGTGTAGAGTAAAATGGCTGTCATAACTGCGGGCGTCACAATGCTCCAGCAAATGCGATAATACCAAGAGGTCTTAATTCCTAACATAAAATAGATATCTTTGCAAAGCCTTTTAACGCCTAGGGAAGAAAAATGGGAAGGGAATTAGTTTCATATCTAAACCAGCAATGAGTTGTATCATCACTCACCATAGATCCATCCAACGGCTATCAACTCAAATATCGCCAACACAAGGGCCACAAACGAGGCTCCAAAAAAATCTAAAAGATTCAAAATATATTGCCCGCCGGGAGTTATGTACAATAGGCCGCAGGCATAAAGTACCACCGCTACGCCCATTACAATTATCCAATTTTTGGCATTGGTAAAACGATCCTTGATCACCGTCACAACACACGAAGCCATGCCGACATTACTGCCAATGCCCAGCACAAACAACATCAAGAAAAATAATACTGAAAATATCTGAAGGGGAATATTGAGGACACATGCGGGTTAAATAATCGCAGAGAGATGGTCTGACCTGAGGAACAACTTTGAATTTTGCTATTGCATCGGGATATGAAATGAAGGCCAAGCCTGGTCCTCCCTGCACCACACTTTTTATGTCCGTTGTGCCCGATTCATGGGCCAAATTTCCCAATATTCCAAAAATTATAATACCCGACAGCATTGAGGTGAAGGTGTCCAGGGTGGTTATAATATTACAGTCTCTGGAATGGAAAAGAAAATATCGTCTGATTATCAAAAGATAAAATTGAGAGCGGGAATTTCTGAGAGAAGAACAAAAAGGCCTTGATTAGAGAGCATAAGCGTACGTTTACATTGAGGAGAAACGGGAGGGGGTGGGGGTATGGACATTAATTCCAGGACATAATCTGTATAATTCCCAAAAACTTACCTCCTAATATTATGTCCGAACCGATTAAATGAAGCATACATAATGATATTGCCAAAACAAATGGCCAATGAAAAGAACACTTGGGTGACGGCAGCATACCAAACCTGAAAAGAATCAAAACAGCCATCAATAAATATTTTCGGAATCGATTTTTGTACTCACTTTGGGATCCAACAATTTATCCCACTGGGGTTTTAGGAAATACAAAACTCCATCGAAAGCTCCCGGCAGTGTCAGGGATCGTACCAGCAACACTGCCATAATACAATACGGAAATACAGCTAAGAAATACGACGCTTTTCCCGAACTTCTTACACCTTTGATGATAATCGAAGCTATGACAAACCATGCGAAAGCTAAGGTCAGGGCCAGACTCCAACTGGGATAGCCGATGCCATCGTCTATGGTATTCTTTTGGCGTAAAATTACATTACTAGAGTAAAGAGAAAGAGAGAGAACATATTTTATGAAGAGAACGAAGAGAGAATGAAAATTAAGAAGAGATCGTAGAGAGAGGGAGAACGAGCGTAAATAAATTAAAACTCAAACTTACATAAAATAAAACTCCGCCGAAGAGGTTTTCGCCTCATTCGACATGGTCATGTTGATGATAAAATCATTCGACAGGGGTTTGGAATCAAAGCAGCTGCTACCCCATTCTTCCCTACAATAAGTCCATGGCAATACGGGATAAAATGAATCGATGAAGTAACGCAATGTTATGGCCATGAGCGTGGCATAATAGGTGGTAACAATTCCAGTGGCAAAGACTTGACCATAACCCACACCTAGGAATAGAAAATATATATTTTAATTTTTTTTTTAATAGATCCAATGAGAAAATGTTCTCTTACCTCTCATTATGGGAGCAAAATCAAACACCTTGACACTCCCCCGGCTCGAAAATTGCCCCAACAGCATTTCCATATAATACACCGGCTTGCCAACTAAGAATAGCACTATAATATAGGGTATCACAAAAGCTCCACCGCCATTGTCCAGGGCCGTAAAGGGAAAGCGCCACACATTGCCAAGGCCCACAGATAAAGCTATACAGGACATCAGGAATTCAATGTCATTGCCCCAACTATCACGGTGGGGTGCTTTGGTGAACTCTGCGCTGCCATTTTGTGTGGGTAGATTCTGAAATTAAATGAAAGAATAATCACTTGACTGCCACAAACGAGTAAAATAGCTGCAAGTTCGGCCGGGCCGAACTTTGAATACCCTCCACTATTTGAAACTAATTTGGCAATTTTCAAAAAAAATTAAATCCGTTGAAAAATCTGTTAAAATCTTAAAAATACCGAATGTAGCCGTTATATTAGGGTCTATACGACGACGTGGACTTGCATAGGCAACTTGTGTCATAACTAAAAATTATATATATCCGTGAATAATCCTCAAAATACCGAATATAGGGAGGTACCGTATATTTATGTATATGGACGTGGACCTGCACAGACAATTTTTTGTCAAAGGCTGTAGTATCCAATACGACTTTCAAATACCATATTTGAAACAAGGCTGGTGAATAATGTGGCTAAAGTCATCAAAATACCGAATATCGGGAGGTACCGTTATATGGAGACTATACAAAGACGTGGTCCTGCACAGACAATTTTCTGTCATGGGCTGTAGTATCTATCACGAACTTCAACCACCAAATTTGAAACATTTTCGGTGAATAATATCGCTTAAATTATCAAAATACCGAATATCGGGAGGTACCATTATATGAGAGCTATACCAAAACGTGGACCTGCAGAGACAATTTTCTGCCTTAGGCTGTAGCATGGTACAATGAAGAGAAGGTAGGTCAACTTTGAAAAAATTGCAAGTATAGAGGTCTACCTGTTTGGCTTGTAATGTCAGAATTACTATCAAAACAATAAAAAATTTCGGTTCATTGTCTTGATAAAAATAATAATCTTCGCCAAGGCCGAGCTTTTATGGTACATAGTCTGATCCATAATACCCTCAATAAAATGCAATACACCAGGTCCAGAGGCTGAAATAGAACCTCACACCATTACTGACCCACCACTGTGCTTCACTGTAGGCTTCATATTTTATTGAATGATAGCAAAAATTTCGGAAATTGAATCAAATTTTGGAATAAGTTTAGATTTCTTCGAATTGGTCACCTTTGGCACGAATTATGTCCTTCAAACAACCAATGAAACCGTCACACGTTGCCCGAATGTTGCTCTGCGGTATTTCGGCCCATTCCCGGCGAAGCGCTTGCTTGAAGTGATCGACACTTTGGTATTTTTTAGTGGCAACATTGCTTTCCAAAATGCTCCATACACAATTGGTATCCGGAGATTTTGGTGGCCATTGTGCGCTGGAAATGAAGCGAGGAACCTCATTTTGTAACCATTCTTGGGTGGGCGTGTAGAGTCCTGTTGGAATTTCCAAGGTCTGCGGCCAAATTGAATATTTTCGCGATAATATTCGGCATTTATTCTGATGCCACGGTCGATTAATACGTGCGGAGAGCGACCATCGGCTGTTATGGCGGCCCACACCATCACCATGTCGGCGCTTGAGTTCTGGTGACCAAACGAAGGTGCACATTTTCAGCTGACCTCTTTGGCATTTTGTTTATTTACAAACTGCTGGACAACGAGTGCATTTTCATCGGAAATAACCAAATTCGGCAGTTCACCACTTTCGGCCAAGCGAAGCAACTCTTTAGCTCTTTTGAGTCTATTTTCTTTCTGTTGTGGTGTAAGTTCTTGCACTTTTTGGAATTTCAATGGCTTTACCCCGAGCTCATTTTTCAATATTTTCCGAATGGAATATTGCGATATGTTCAGCTCACGAGACATTTTTCTTCTTCTTTACTTTTCGAACCATTTCTGCTCATGTTGCTGTTTTCTTCCGTCCACTTTCTTGACGTCGGCCGATGGTACGGGACACAAAAGATTTATTCACATTTAAATGCTGGAGTGCTCTAACGATAGCCACTTGTGGTTTTCCAGCCAAATATAAAGAAATCACACTATATCGCCTGAATTCCGTCACGAATAACTTTTTTTTCTGGAAAATTCTCTTTTGTACGCTTGTAACAATATAATTAGGTGTCAGTAGAATAATTTTAACAGCTGTCGGACGGGTGGCTTAGAAATTACAGCAGTCTGAAATTGGTTGCAGTTTTTTCATAAAACAGTAAAATTTTGTTCTACGGCTAGTTCAAGTACCCTATACACTAATAAAAAATATAGGTTTCTTCGGGTAGTGAATATGATTACCTTCATACATTGCTTGAAAAGCAATAATAAGGAAAAATAGGAGTTTTCAAACTCTCAGTAAAATAACTGTCAAAATTTCTCTCTCGAATTGTTCTCTTTCACAGAACTTTCAGCAATTTTTACAAATTTTAAGGTTACCAGACACACCTAATTTAAGAAAAACTATACGAAACCATATTTTATATTTCTAATTATTATTCATTTTTTCATTTCTACTTACATTTCCATTAGCATCGTATCCTCCCGCATCCGGGTTTGCTTCAATTTTTATTGTACTACCATTACTCTTAACCGATTCCGTACCCTCGTCGCGATCCAGCGATTTACGATATTCACCAGGTATTGATGTGGTCGAGGCATGACGTGAGGGTACATATGCTGGATTTGCAAAGGCACCGTGTCCATCGTAGTTCTCATGGGCGGCCATAATATTTATTGGCTAGCTAACGGCCGACAACACTTTCAAAGGCAAAGTCAAGTGCTGCACCAACACCACCACCAGCAGCGGCAGCGACAAACGAAACCCGTTAGACTTTTTTGCTATGCTCCAAAAGTAACAAAATGTTTGTCAAGGACAATAGCATGATCTGCAACGAGAAGTGAATACAAAAACAACAACAATTACAACTGACAAATGTTAAAAACTTGTTTCTTATTTCACCGACCAAATCTGAAAATTGTTAAGAATGTTGTTGTGTGCGGTTTGAAATGTGTATGACGCGAAAAAATTGAAACCTTGCTCCACAAGCGCGCCAATACACTCGAGTAAAAATCGCAACTGAATGTGTAGAAAATCTGTAACCTAGGATAGCTAGGTGTTAGGGTTATAATTGATATTGTGGCAATTTTGCTATAAAGCTCATGAATTGCTTTGACAATATTATTCTAGCATGCCTAATTATCAGCAATAATTATTCTAAAACAAATTGTTATCGTCATCATGTAGTGAGACACACATTAGGGGTTATTTGATGTGATATTAACTAATACGAGGATCAGTTTGAAATGTCTAGTCAGTCGGCAATGGCGTCCATTTGATGTATGCGCCGCAATTAAAATGACAGCTGAAATCTACACGATTAATAAGTATAAACGTACTTAACACAAGCCTTTCGAGCATGGTAGTAGAATACAGGTAGTCGCATCGACATAGCTGCTGGGACAATGAACTGTCAAACCGATTTTGATATTGAAAATCGTGTATGAAAAATTATTGAAATTTGTAAAAATTTTTGAAAAATACATATCATTACAACCTCCGATTTGCGTCGTATAAGAAAACATATAAAAATAGACTTATTTTTGACAAAGCAAATGTTGACATATCAATGTTCTCAAGCGTTGATGCATCTACCTATATTGATTTGGAGGCATGGTAGAAGAATACAGGTAGATGGGAACATTTATACGTGATATTTTTTACAATGTTTTCTTTTTTTCTAAAATAAGTAAATTTTACATGTTTTCTTATACGATGCCAATCGGAGATTCTTATGATGCATATCATACCAACAATTTTAACGAATTTAAATATTATTTTCATTCAAAATTTTCGATTTCAAAATTGGTTTGACAGTTCATTGTCCCAGCAGCTGTGTCCATGCGACTATCTGTATTCTACCATTCTTTGGAGGATATCGATAACGATCAGCTGAAACTACAACTATACAGGGTGAGATAAAAAAACTGCAACAAAGTCAAAAGCCATAATTTTTATATTTTTTAATTTTTTTGAATGAAAGCAAAAATGTCGGAAATAGCATCAAATTTTTGAATAAATTTAGATTTCTTCGAATTGGTCTATTTTGGCACGAATGACAGCCTTCAAACGGCCAATGAAACCGTCACACTCTGTCCGAATGTTGCTCTGCGGTATTTTGGCCCATTCCCGGTGAGGCGCTTGCTTGAGGTGATCGACACTTTCGTATTTTTTAGTGCCAACCTTGCTTTCCAAAATACTGCAGACACAATAGTCCAACTGATTGGTATCCAGAGATTTTGGTGACCATTGTGCGCTGGAAATGAAGTGAAGAACCCCATTTTGTAACCATTCTTGGGTGGCGCGTGCTGAGTGCGATGGTGCTGAGTCCTGTTGGAATGTCCAAGGTCTGCGGAGAAAATGTTTGCGTGCCCAAGGCTTTAATACACCCTCCAGAATATATTCGGTTTTTTCTGATGCCACAAGGCTTTAATATACCCTCCAGAATATATTCGGTTTTTTTTTCTGATGCCACAGTCGATTAATACGAGCGGAGAGCGACCATCGGCTGTTATGGCAGCCCACACCATCAGCATGGCCGGCGCTTGAGTTCTGGTGGCCAACCGAAGATGCACATTTTCAGCTGACCTCTTTGTCAAGTAAGCACGATCATTTTGTTTGTTTACAAACTGCTGGACAACGAATGTTTTCTCATCGGAGAAAACCAAATTCGGCCAAGCGAAGTAACTCTTTAGCTCTTTTGAGTCTATTTTCTTTCCGCTGCGGTGTAAGTTCTTGTCCTTTTTGGAATTTAAATAGCTTTACCCCGAGCTCATTTTTCAATATTTGCCGATTGGAATATTGCGATATGTTCAGCTCACTAGCCATTTTCGGCCACTGCGACGCGGGTTTCAATCAAGTCGCTTCTTTACTTTTCGAACCATTTCTGCAGATGTTGCTGTTTTCTTCTGTTCACTTCCTTGACGTCGGGCTACGCTACCAATATCACGGTAACGAGCGATGGTACGAGACAAAAAAGTTTTAAAATTCTATGTCTTTTTAACGTTGGCCGTCCGTCTGTATATCTGTCCGTCTGTTGAAATCACTCTAGCTTCCGAACAAATTGAAGTAAGTTGATATAATTTTACTCAAATGTGTGTTTGGTCTGCCGGAGCTATATAGGTCCACGTTTAGGTATAGCCCCCATATAAATGTACCCCCCCTATATTCGTTATATTGATATTTTTGGCGACATTGTTCGCCGGAATTGTTTCAAATTTTATAATGGGCACTACAGTCTGTGACAGAAAATTGTCTCTGCAGGTCCAGGTCTTCATAGAGTCCCCATACATCGGTACCTCCCTATATTCGGTATTTTTCTGATGTCAGTGATATTATTCACCGGAATTGTTTCATATTTCGTGCTTGTATTTCCTAATAGGTACTACGGTGTATGACAGAAAATTGTCTATGCAGGTCCAGGACTTCGTATAACCCCTAAATATTGGTACTTCCCGATATTCGATATTTTGATGATTTTAGCGATTTTATTCACGGGAATTGTTTCAAATTTGGTATTTGAAGTTCCTAATGAGAACTACAGTCTATGACAGAAAATTGTCTAAGCAGGACTTCGTATAGCCCCTAAATGTCGGTACCTCGGTAACGGTAACTCCCTATAAACGGTATTTTTAAGATTTTAATAGAATTTACTGCTTTTTCACTTGTTCCTTTCAAGTGCATATTCAATATGTGCAGATTACTCGAAACTTTTCTGGAGAAACGGTAGAAAATCTCGACAAAAAAGTCGGACATATTAAAATATTCGATAGGTAAATACCATTCAAAATAACACTTTCTCGAAACTGTTGTAACCTACCTCAGTTTAATGATAGTTTGTCTCTAGATTTACGACCAATTTGTTGTAAACTAGTTTATGACGTTAAACAAATTGACATGGAAATATTTAATGCGATATGATGATACAGCGACGAGAAATGATAAGATTATCAGATATCGCATAAAATGTTATCTTGGGATCAACTGGGTCACGAGATTAGAGCATGATTAAAACTGATGCAATGGTGAAAGGTAGACACATAATTATTAAATCATTTTCCAATTTTTAGGATTCTGATTAACAATTTAACGAAATGTGACTGCCTCATAGACACAAATACAATCGGAAAATTCCCAGGATCAATTTTCTTTTGTTTATTTGCTTTTCGATCTATTTTCAGATATTTCAAATAAAATGCATTTCGATAGGGGCATAGACTAAAAAGTTGTCTCATCTGTTATCTTCGAAAAAAGTGCTTCAATAGATGTCGTTCATGCTGTGAGAGAGCAAAAGTCTATTCACTCAATTCTCTCAAAATACAAAATATTGAATATTTTTATGATTTATTATTATTTATCAATTGAAAACGAAACAGTGACTTTGTTTACATTGACATTACCCAACTATGTCGTGAAATATAACAAGTAAAAAAACATTAAGTTCGACCGGGCCAAACTTTTAATACTCTCCACCTTAGGGTAAAGGAAACATTAGAAGAAATGTGTCAAAAACCATTAAAATGCCGAATATTGGGAGGTACCGTTATGTGGGGACTATATCAAAACGTGGACCTATACATACAATGTTTCGCAACACGAACTAGGACCCATTATAACCCACAAATACCAATTTTTAGACAAATCAGTGAAGAAATGTGTCAAAAACCATCAAAATACCGAATATCGGGAGGTACCGTTATATGGGGCCTATACCAAATCATGGACTCATACATGCAATGTTTCGCCACCGGAGCTGGAACCCATTATGACCAAAAAATACAAATTTTTAGACAAATCCGCGAAAAAATGTGAAAAAAAATTAAAATACCAAATATCGGGAGGTACCTTTATATGGGGGCTATACCAAAACGTGGACCCATGCATGCAATGTTTTGCCACACGCACAGGGACCCAATATGACCTAAAAGTACCAATTTTCAGACAAATCCGTGAAAAAATGTGGCATAAATAATCAAAATACCGAATATCGGGAGGTACCGTTATATGGGGCCTATACCAGAACGTGGACCAATATATCTCATTTTCAATACCAACCATCCTAGACACAATACAAATTGCTCTGCTAAATTTTGGCGCTCTACGTCAAATAATGTGGGCTGTATCGTGATTTCGACAGACAGACGGACAGACAGACGGACATCGTTAAATCGACTTAGAATTTTATGCTGATTATGAATATATATACTTTATGGGGTCTACGACGAATATTTAAGGATGTTACAAACGGAATGATGAAGTTAATAAACCCTCCTTTCCAAGGTGGAAGGTATAAAAATCGTGCAATATTGGCCATTGAAACATTGCAAAACTCCAAAACAGTCTTCAACTATTGTTCACCAAAACAAAATTCCGAATCTTGAAAGACATAATAAAGCACTTAGATATGAATTTTTTACGGATTAGCCAACATTAATGTCTTATCCGGATTTACCCGGCCGGTCTTCTTTCAACAACCTTTTTAGTGTAGAGCGCACAACAGGCCTAAACTGGCTTAAGTATATATCTACCAGGACATGTGGTACCCCTTTTCAAATAGAGAGTCCCGATACTTTGATTTTTGAATGTTGTCTTTACCTTATGGTTGAAGTTAAAGTTTTTTTTATTTGTATTTTGACGAACAGAAATCCTTTGAAATTACGTATTTGAAGTTCCTAATAGGTACTACAACCTGTAACAGAAAATTGTCTATGCAGGTCCAGGTCTTCGTATAGCCTCGATATAACCGTACATCCATATTCAGTTTTTTTGATGATTTTAGCTACATTATTAACCGAATTTTTTCAAGTTTCGTATTTGAATATTTTAATT